ATTTTTTAGCAGAAAAGTGATCCAAATATGAATACATAAAAAAGAGATGGTTCTCCAGAGATGAATTACTGCAAGAACTACTTTCTGTACCATGAATGTTCTAGTTTCACAGATCATTATGCAATAAGACTCATTATGCAGTTCTCATTTATAGCATTCATTTCAAAATCTCACTATAGGTTACGCCGTATTCCTCAAAATCATTTCTATGATTACACCAATCCTGATTGGCTGGTGTTCACACCTGCACCATCTACCCATCAAGGCTTGCGACACAATGCAACATCATTCCAAAATCTCTTCTCACTTCGAAGCATATATTTAGGCTTGGGTAACAGCAGGCTTGCTTAATGGTCAACAGCGGACACTAAGATAGCCCGTCAATGCTGCTTTGGCTATGGTCTTCATCATAGTCAGGAGCACCCGTTGCCCATTTCTGCATTAGCGGTCCATCTAACACCAAACTCCCACTGAGGTGGCGTTAGGTTCTGGTTATCGAACCGGCTACCGAAATGGACTGAGTCCCACACTCGATCGAACCCTGCTCACCCTTCCACCTTTGGAGACTGGCTCACCAGTGAATCTCCTCAGACTCAACTTCCCCCTGGCAGCTCCACTCATCTCCATCAGTAGGCCAACCTTCTCTTTTGAAAATCCCCCCTCACCCATTCCACCTATTTAACTACTTTGTCATCCTCTGCTACACAGCCGAAGAACCAGATCTCAGCTCAGCCTCCAGTTATTGCTATTTTTTTTAAATATTCTTAAACATTTTTCTCTCTCCTGAGTTTGTTCTGCATATGGGCCAAAGGCCTATTCAAAACCATGGCAGAAAGAGGTCGACGCTGTTGGGAGCTGGAGAAGTACCACCTTTCTCCAGCAGAGTCCGCCGTGGATCCTCCTGAGCCGAGCCTGCGACGCACCTGTGGCTCGTTCCATCATCAGAGGATCCACACTATAAAAGCTGTCTTCAGACCTTGCCTCGACGCTGCAGTGTTGAATCTCGTTGGTTAGCACCTGAGCCAAAGAATCTTCTGAAAACCTTTTATTGCCCTCTGAGTCCTGCTTGGATTCTAATCCTTTGTGTCTCTGTTTCCAGGAAACCAGTTTTTCTCTGTAAGCTCCGGATGAGCTTAGACTGCCGAGCCTGCCCTCTGAGCCAAACCCGAAGACTCTTCTCTGGATTTCCCATGCAGCTCAGGATTAAGAGCTGGAAACCAAAAGCCAAGGTCTGCACCCTCTTCAGAAGTAAGACGCTGAAGCAGCTATTGGACTCTGCTGAAACGAACCTTCTCCGGACCCAACTGCTCCTCTCTCTGAGTTCAAACCGGAACCCTCAAGGTATAGATCAGAACTTCACAGAACCTAACCCCATTGCTCTCAAAGCTAACTGCTCTGTTATCTACACAGACTCCAGTGAACCAGTCCCCAGGCCTGAACCAGTTCCAGTCATTATTCCATGTGTTTGTGAACAATAAACGTTGTTAAACTTTTACCATTGTTTCCGTCTCCGTGGTGTTCTGCATAACTGGGTCTCATCAGTGAACCCATCATGACAGACGCAGGGTCTACTCTTCCATGTATATCTAACCCTAAGCAGATCTGACCACCCTGGCATATCTGGTACCTACATTGTTGTTGTGAATGTCAGAATTATAGTTCCCCACAAACGCAGATATTGGAATCTGTGATTAGATGTCAGCCAAACCCATTTATACAGGGACATATAAAAAGAAAAAAACTCAATAAACCAAACATTACCTGCCACATATCTGACTCACTAACTATTTAAAACTATTTTCATTATTCACTACTGAGAAGCAACTACTTTTTCCTCTTTGCACAGAGCAGCTGGCTTGCTTGGACTTGCAATGAATAATGGGATGCCAAATGCTACGGAGGATACACCAGAACCTGTGCTTCAAAACGGGCAAAAAGGATGCATTTGTCGGCTGCATAATGAGGAGACTTTGGCTGAATCCCAAACCGGCCCCTATCCGTTAAAGGGCAGGGAGAAAAAAACAAAACAAAGGTTAGTGGAGGGAAGAGCTTTTAGATGTTTAAAAATAAAATTTTCAGGAAAGGAATGTCGTCTTGTTGCCCCATTTAATCCTTAAGCCACTTAAGTAATTTTCCCCCTCACTTGATTTAAAACATACTTTTGCTTTTTAATCTGTCAGATTATCGTGGTCATTACCTATGGTTCTCCCACAACCAGAGTTCCAATGATGAGCAATGCTCGACCTCCCCCTAAAGGCGTCAAATGTCTGCTGATCCACAGCAGCCCGTGTTCTGTTTCTGTCTTTTATTTTTTGTTAAACATTTTGAAACTTCCCACTGTCTGACTCACCTCAATACTGGGTCCATCTGTCCCATTTTATGACAAGTATTTTCATTTAATATCCATTTAAAAAAAAAAAAGTCACTAGAATAGCAACAAATCTGACTTAAATATTTACTACCTTTACCTAAAATTGAATGGGAGTGGCCTGTGTGTTGGTTCCCAGGAAGTTTAGGGCCAGTCTTGTATGTTCTATTGCACCTTGAGTGAGATAGTTTGACACACTTGCCTTTTGGGCACTAGTATAGTTGACTCTTATTCTGTCAGCGAAATCCTGTGTTATTTTTTATTAAGTTGACAATATTAGTTTAAGACCTTATTGTTTAATATTCAGTAATATGATATAACCAAAACATGCCACTAGAATGTTAATAAATTGACAGAATGTGAGGCCAGCCTGTGAGTGGTTGTCTGAATCTGCCAACCTGATATGATTATCCTGCTTTTTCGATTATTGATTAAATTAAATCTTCTTTCACAATCATCAATGGATGATTGAAATGTAGCACTAATATCCACAAGCTGTTTACAAAGGAAACTGCCGTTTCATTAAACATGTCCATACCAATACTTCTCATAAATGTATTAGTTTGTATTATAAAACTGATTTGATATTAATATTAAACCGGGATTGAAAAGTAGATCATGTTTCAGAACAGTTGATTTAAATAAAGGCGGTTTGTACATCCAGACCAACCAGCTGGCTGAGGTAATTCATGATAGCTGTCATGAAGACCACAGGCTACAAAAGCCTAAAACTATAACTCTATGGCAAGAAAACATTAGTTTACTCAATTTCTCTATATTATGTAACGAAATTCGGAAAAAGTTAAAAGACGGAGGAAAAAAATGTTATTGAATATTGATTTAAAGTATATGTTGGATTTTATTTTGAGCACTGTATAGATTCTTGTGCGCTGAGAATGCGCGAGCAGTGTGCAATTGTGCAAGCGCACACAGCTTTCAGGGAACATTAGCCCAATCTCAAACCTCCCCCCTAACCACTAACCCATAACTATAAAGTGTCACTCTGAAAGAAGTCACACTCACAGTTGTGGAAGGCGCCTTGATTGAAGGTTGGTATAAACAAGATTAGAACGGCCTCTTCCCACATGTGGGTGGCTGTAGCTCTGTGGCAGGTTGACATGAAATAAAATATGCCCCTTTCTTTAAAAAATGTATACAGTCAAACAAAATTTTTTGAAAGGGACATTTGGATGCAGGTGCTTCCCCCGCAATCAGGTGGGCGATACACCCGCTGCCAAATTCCAGCAACCCTGCACTGATGCAAATTAGCTGTTTAAGGGCTGAATGGCTCACTCGCCCTACCAACTACAGCACAAGTCCGCCCAAATGAAGCACTAAACAAGTAGACCACTTTGGTTCAATTCAGATTTTATTGGGGTGATAGTGACCTCTGCATGACCTAAAATAAATGTTTAATATCTCTTAAACAAAAGTAGCATCAATTATAGTTTTAAATGCAAAAATCTGCACTACTGTACAGTACCATTCAGTCTATCTGCAGAGTTTTTGTAGAGTTTTTAGGCACAGATGTAATTTCGGGGTTGGGGGGGGGGACATGTTCCTTGCACTGCCATAAAACAATGTTACGCTACAGTAAACAGACAATTGTCTGGCACTAAGACCAAGTGGAAAACCTCAGCTCAAGCTGAAGCCCACTTCATTGAGTTTAGACCACCTACAAGCTCCTGATTGGCCCTCTGTCTTAACTTTTATGCTTGAATGTTACCGCTGCGGCGCTGTCACTCCTGAGAAGCTCACTTTACAAACATCTGATGTGCCGCTGAATCACTTCTGCGATTGAATGGTCACAGCACCGCTGAAGGCCTATGCGCAACGTAAATAGAACTGTAGACTCATGAGTGTTTTTCTCTGCTACATACTTGATTTTTGAGACATCTCAAACGGTCCAGCAGTTTTACGGTCTTGTAGAAAAATGTGGGTCTGCAAAAGACAACAGACGGTGAGAGTCTGCTGCTGTAAATTAGGCATTTTTTCTTCTCTTGGGTTACGTAATCTAGAAGGGTTGTAATATCAGGTGTATTCATTTACATGTATCTTTGAATTGTTGTCATGTGCATGCGTGTGTTTGGTTACTAGACTCTCAGCCAGGGGGTTTAAGAAAATAAATCCTACTTTGAACTGCCTTTTGTCAGATTAGGAATAGTGTCAAAAAACATTTTTAATCTTTTCCACTGATACTCAAACTTAATTGGAATATTCAAAGTCCTCAGTCCATGCTTCTCCTTACACCCATGAGTGGAGGTAAGTTAAGTTCTTTTAAATAAATAGGGTTGTTCTGATTTGTTATCACTTTTTATGTTTAGCAATGCTTGGTTTGCATCATCTAGCTCTAAATTCCGCAAACCTACCATCACTGTTGAAATGCTTTGTGTTATTTCAGTGGCTTTAAATTATTTTAGGTGACAGTCAAAAAAGGCAGACATTTTCTTACCAATCACTTCAGGTTGGTCCAGATATTTCAAGGATAATTTTAGTTAAAATGTTGGATTACTCACCCAGGAGTGTTGATCAGAAACATACTACTGATAGTAGAGGAAAACAAAGACGGGTGCGAACAAATTAATCCAGAAGACAGACATCAAGTAACAACTTTTATTAATCTTAACAATGACAAAAAAACAAGTCTCAAATATATTTTTCTTAGTTTTCCAAACTCATCAGGAGAGCAGTTCCTCTCTTGATCCAGTGCTCTGGAGCAACCGCTCCAGATTGTAGTTGCACTGTGACCACAAATGACGGCCGCCCGGCTCTGCCAGCACGTGCAGGAATGTAATAGACGGGACACCGGTAAATATCTGCCAACATACACAAAACAGCATGAGCTCATATAGTGAAACCACACTGAAACATTAAGAAAAAAAACTGAATAACGTGTCAGAACTGAAATGGTACGGTGACTTGAACTCACTGTGTGGCATCTTTTTGGATTTTTTCACTGGCTTAAAGTGGATAGTGGGAATCCGGCACACCATCTCCATGGGCTCTGGATCCACCAGACAGGAATTCCACCCGTTCCAACCTGCCCCCTCCAGGTAAAGCCCAGTTATATATACACCATCCTGAAGGTTAGGTGAGACAGGGGAAAGGTATTAAAAATAACTATATTAACTTTTATAAGCATGAAAGTCAAAGTAATTTGCTGGTTAAATGGATTCATTTGAACTGTTCCTTTGACAGAGATGAGTATGTAAGCAGTGGCTAAATGGCTTATCCTGCTGTTGACTCTAGATTGTCATTGTCATTACTTGGATTTGAAAAAACAAATATGGCCATCTGTGATGCATGGAAAACACGTACACTCTGTCCTTATACAGTAGAAGACACCTAGAGCATGCCTTGGTGGTCCCTGGGTTCCACCTCAGCATCTTTACCAATTTTATCTACCTAAGGTGTTTGGATCAGATGGTTAAAACTTTCTTACAGTAGGATGTTCCAGTGGTTAAAAGTGCCTGGCATGGCTATTACCTCAACCACGTGGCACTGGTTGAATAAAAAAAGGTGTCTAGGTTTCAGGAAAGATTTAATTTAACTGCAATATTTCCAAAGGATCATCACAATATTGAAAAAAAAATAAATTTTTGACACTAAGTGGGACCCCCCCCCCCCAAAAAAAAAAACAGAATGTATCAAGAGATTATTTCCGATGTGCTGCTATCAGTGAGTAGATGCTATCTGGGAGAAGATGGCTGGACATTAACAGCTCAGAAAAGAAGAGCGATCTGATAGCAGTCACCTCGGGCATGGTACACAGCTGTCTGTAATCCACAGTGGACACCACAAACTCCCAGGACAGCGTCTCCACTGGGATCTGCAAATAGAAGAAGGTATCATTTAAAAGATGGCTTGTTTATAAAGTAAACAAATGGAATTATTCATTCATGTACATTTTCTGTAAAGCATTAACAGTTATATGCTGTTGAAGATTCACAGTCATCCAGGTCATAGTCAAAAAAGTCAAAAAGCAAATGACTGGATTGTTCAATCCAGTCATTTGCTTTTTAACTTTTTTGGAATGACTTAAATGACTTGGAATGACTTTAAATTTTTGGATTATTCTGAAGTTGTTTTTGTTAAATTGATACTGCATGCATATACAAATTTACCAATGAAGTTGTTGGGATCTATTTAGTCTAGCTCTACACATTCCAGCCAGTTTTACATTTTCTTTTACTTGATGAACAAGTTCAGGTTTTAGACATGTCTACACAGACGGGTCTCTGTAGTTCAAATCTGAAAACAAAAAAGTGCTGTTACATTAAATCAGTTGAGGGGTTTGAAGGATTTCAAAACAGCATAAGCCTTTAGAATTAAGGTTTAGTGTTTATTCTGTGAAAAATCTATGGTATATTTTCTTCAGTAAGTTTTACATCTTGGGTGAAAGACTTTCCCATCTGAATAATGACAAGTATTCAGGAATTCTGATTATTGTCCATCTGTCTTACCATCTTTCTATTGATCTGGATATAATTTGGTGAAAGTAAAAGTATGATTCTATCATGTGGGATCTTTTGTCATGTATCAGATGTTGTCATGTTTTACCAGAAAGAGGAAGAAAAAAAAAGATAAGCTAAAAAAGTGACTTGTCTGTCCAAGTTCCCACAGGCCCTAATGTGGTGCAAGAAGCTGAGATTAAGTTCCTTCACTCAGAAGCGAGAGACACAGTGTTCTCTGCCAAACCTACACAGCAGAAGACTGAGGGGTAGTTCTGACATGGGCAAGCAAAAGTGGTCTACGGTGGGAACTTGTAGAGTGAAACTGAGTTTAACTGTGACAGGTTTATAAGATCAGAAGAAAGATATTCATCTTTGTAAGCACTCACGTTATGTTTCCGTGCCGTGGACTGAAGTACGGCGGTGAGAAGGGCGTTTGGACGGGTGAAGCCGGACAGCCACAACTGGATGGGAGGCTGGAGTGTGCGTGCCCAGCATGCAAACTGGTCCACTCGCTGGCAGAGATCCTGCATCCACGCTCCAAGAGGCTTCAGAGACAGATATGCCTGTAGGTAAGAGAGAGACAGGGAGGAGGTAGGGTCAGCTCTTCTGTTGCTTCATGCTTCCAGCCGTTAGAACTTACTCATAGTTAGCTCAACGCCCAGTGCAGCTGCACTGGATGTCTTATTAGTCCAGCAATGAAAGCTCTGGGAAAATAAAACTGATAACTAGAAAAAGATGTTTCGGAGAAACAGCAAAGTGGGAATGCTTTTTGATGCTGAATGAAGAAAGAAAAATTAGCTAAAGAAACTGTATAAAGGAAAAGAAGCAGAAATTAGCTGAAGAACATATCAAAATGTGATAGGAAGTAATCAGAAACTTAAAACTGCAGAAACCAGTAGAATCATCTGAAGATTTTGTAGGGTAGAATCATTTGGCAAAATAATGGCAGAAACACACTCATCTTAAAAGCAAAACATTTAAAGTTGATTAACCAGAAGAAAAAGTCCAAAAGTATCTGTTTACCTAGAAGTTGACAGAAGTAAAGCATCTGCTTACGATGTTAGCAGATGCTTTATTACAGTGGAAACGTTAGAGCTTCATTAAGAAATGTGCACTGAGGTGTGTTGTCAATAGGCCTTGGTCGTGTAATTTGAAGAAATTGGTTGAGTTCGGGTCATAGCTATGAACCATATGGCACAATGAATGAGTGTGCGTAAGGAAGAGGCTTTTATTTTATCAGTCCCCATAGTCTTATCTTGAAAGTCTACCATGGATTTGTGTCAAGGGAAGGGTCATGCCCAGCAGTGATATAGAATCGATTTCTAAATGTGAAATCACTGGTTTTCCATGTTGAAGTCATAAGGGTATGAGCCTCTTTGAACAGAAGTGAGGCAGAAAGGCTGAAGGCTGTGGAGAAAAGCCAGACCCTTCTCAGGAAACTAGAGACCAGGGACGATCACTAATACCATCAGGATTACATTCAATAGTTTAACCTGGACATTCAACAACTGGAAGAAGAGCTTCAAGAAAAAGAGGAAAGTAGGACTCCAGGCAGAAAAACAGAAACTAAAAGAAACTCAGAGCACATCCAAGGAGGTCGACCAGAAAAAACTTCAACATGACAACCAGCAGCTGGAAACGTTGCTCCAAGAAGAGAAAAGATTGAGGCTCCAAGCAGAAACTGAAATCTCTAATCATGTAGAAAGTGTCAGCGCTTTGTGTCAAGAACTTAATCAAGAAGTCATAAGGGTACGAGCCTCTTTGGACAGAAGTGAGGCAGAAAGGCTGAAGGCTGTGGAGAAAAGCCAGACCCTTCTCAGGAAACTAGAGATCAGGGATGATCACTAATACCATCAAAATTACATCCAATAGTGGGAACAATGACTCAAGAAGCAAAACGCCTGGGATTCTAGGCAGAAAATAAAAGCAAACACATTGTGAAAAGTGAGGCTGAGAGTTTTGAAAAACTTAAAAGCCATCATGTAGGTCACTGAGTAGGAAAAACACAACTTACCTGCCTGGACAAACCTTATTTATTTCTGTGTTTTGTAGGATATGTTAAAATAAAAAATAAAAAAGAAATGTATGTTGATTCTAATTGTTAAAGTGTGTTTTGTTCATTATTCCTTGTTTTCTTTTTAAATGCTTAAAAACAACACAACAAAAAGTTAATGAAAGCAAAAAAAATCCCAAAAGTATGTGTTTTAAATGGTTTTACCCTACATATTAGTTTGTGTACTGTCCCATTTTATACTATACACATATGTTGTATTCTGTTTGCATAACAGGGTGGTATCTGTTTTGTTGACCAACAAGTTAGTTAGCTCTACCATTTAAGGGAAGCTCACTTTGCTGTAAAATCGCACGCTCGTTCTTTTAGAGTTTAAAAAAAAAAAAAGAATAAAAAAAAAAACGTAACTCTGCCTGAGTATCTTTTAAGGTTACTTTGCCGGTCCCAAGCCCGGATAAAAGAGGAGGGTTAGATGTAGAGCGAGAAATTTCACAACACAAAACCAAGAAATTGTTAAACGTTAAGGGCTTATGGCAAAATTCCAACAAAACTGAAACATTGATTGTTCACCCAATGAAAAAACCCAGGAATTTGAAATTTCACACTGCAGCCTAGATAATAATTACCAATTGATTTATTGATCTCACATTGGAGAAATTTTCCTAATTTAACCCATCCCCTTGGGGATCAGTGGGCTGCCATCGTGCGGCGCCCAGGGAGCAGTGTGGGGTTAAGGGTCGACACTCAGGAACCCAGAGTGGAGGCTGTGGGGATCAAACCGGATACTTGCAACGTTCTCAGAGCACAAGCGCACTGCCCTAACCACAAGACCAACACTCCCCCAAAAGTGCCAATATGCCACCAGTATTTTATCTTTTCATATTAATCTTCTTTTCTTCTTTTCAAATGCAACCAGTTACTAAAGTCTAGAGGCGGCCTGAAAATATTGGGTTTATTTACCTGCGTAAAGACTGAGAGGAGAGAAGAACCTAGCGGATTCACAGAGTGGACTTTCACGCTTAAAAATTTGTGAAATATTGTTGAGTGCTTGAATGAAAATTTGTGTACATCTAAACATAGA